TTGCCCCCCCCCCAATACTCGAGATGGGTATAACGCATGACCGCCAAATGATTGTAGTGTACTAATAATAATCAATCATATTAACAATTTTGATATCATTATGACGTAGCCTGACGTCATTTTATGTGATTTATTGCCTAAAACCGTTTTTCTCTTAAAACTCAATGGTATACAACACAAGTTTAACAATAATGATGCACATAGCCAAAACCAGTGACGTCATAAAATAACATCATGCATATTTAAACAACCCGCAATCTTTAATCGTCAGTATTGAATTGACAAAAATCTTTTTTTTTTCAAGAAAAAGCCTAGAACTACAACGGAAATATACTAAAGAGATTTAACTTTTTCTGTAAAAACATCGAAGTTGTGATGAAATTTTAAGTGCATTTTCTGTGTATTCAAGGGGGATATCATTAAGTGAAATAACGGGGGGGACTGGGGGCAATCTCTCATGAATGAAATCATTAGTAACTTACACTTATCGCCGTTTAGGATCATATCATTTTCTAACGCCCAACTATTCAACTGGTCGAGTGATGTTTGTATTACACTGCAGTCAGGTAGTGAACGGTAGACATCCCATTTCTACAGCCAAACTGGTGAGGTTCCAGTACATTTCCCACGTCCTGGAGAATCCATTTTGTGAGAAATGATTCAAAGACTTTGATGAGAACTGAGGTGAGGGAAATCGGCCGTAGATTATTAAGAGTGGCTGGTGACTTTTTTGGTATCGGACAGATGATGGCCTGTTTCGCCAAGTTCGGCCGCATACTGTTTAGCTATTCTAGTCGTCCGGACCGTTGCTTTTATGGGAGTTCAGACGTCTTAGTGTTTCGTAGACCTCCCAAGGAAATATGCGAGGCGGCCTAGAGGGGGATGGTAGGTACGGGGGGAGGGAGTCAAGATCTAAACGGGGCAGTTCATTAACAATATATGCGAAATGACTATTGACTAACTCGGCAATGTCTTCGTCAGGTAAGGGGACGTTATCAGGGGGACAAACAGAGACGGGCGATTTGCGGGAGTTTAAAATCTGACGTAGACACTGGTGCCATTTCGCTGAGTTATCATTCTTGAGGGATTTTACCCTGGAAACATAATGGCGTTTTTTTGCTTTTGAACATAACCGAATCACTTGATTCCTATTTTTTTTTAATACAAGGGCATGTTTCCTGAGTGAAAGGCTTTTTGTCGCCTTCTAATGGCAGACTTGATCTGTGAGGTTATCCATGCTTTATCACTGTTGTGTTTTACAAACGATTTGAATGGGAAATGATGATCAATCTTAGCTTTAAGAATATCGTAGAAATTGTCGACTTTAGTTTGTGTATCTGGAGCGTTCAGGACCTCATTCCACGGGTGGGATGAAATCCATTGCCCAAAAGAGCGTATATTGGAATCTTTCATTTGCCGAAAAGCGACTTTAGATGTCGTGTTAATGGGTTTGTGATCTACTGGAAACCATAACACGGAGTTGTGATCGCTCTGTCCTAAAGGTTCTTCTATACGGGGGTTTAGGTAAAAAGTCTTAAAGTTCGTAATTATCAGGTCAAGGACTGCCCCTCCCCTGGTGGGGTGTTTCACGACTTGTTCAAGTTTGCTACCATGAAGAACGGGCGAGGTTTCGAACCTGTTAAAATCTCCCATAAGACATATTCCTCCGTGAGGATATTTGGTGCTAATCTTGTCAATACTATTGAGGAGGTAGTTACATAACATATCCTGATATGGATTGTTAGGAGGATTATAAACAACATATATAGCTATGTTTGTAATGTCCCTAGGTGACCAGTGAGGTTTGACTAAAATCCATAGGCACTCAAGCTCTGTAGGAGTTTCTTTAAAATCAATAATGTCGGCGGGTATAGTCTCTCGTACATAAATTGCTATGCCACCGCCTCGGCTGCTAGTACGACGACGGGAAAAGATGGTGTATCCTTCTATATCTGTACATTCTACAGGGTGACTAGGTGTGAACCACGTTTCTGTAACTACACCTATATCAATATTATAACTAGCCATAGAGTCAGAAAAATCATCCAGCTTATTTACAAGAGACCTTGCATTACAAAGTAGGAACGATGGTAAGGATTTAACCTGTCTTGCTACAGTAGTCTCCTGGGGGGAATTCTTCCTAGAAAACCCCAAGGCATCAGTGATGGTGGTGGGGCCCTCAAGGCGTCTGCGAAGGATGTCCCGGTGCGGACTCTGGCCTGGCGGTCACCGTTCAGGAAGGATATGAAATTCATAGCAAGTTGAATTATTCCTTGTCTATTCAGGTGAACTCCGTCGGGGCAGATGTGGTGCAGTCCGATGTTGCTGTTGTCTATGAAGTGCCAGCCGTTCCTGTCGCACATTTCCAGCATGCCCATGTTGACTTGGCGGGTCCATTCTAGGCCGCCATTGGTCCGCATGATTACCCCTGACACCGCAATGTTCTTCGCGCCCGATTGTTGGAGTGACGACGCCAGGTGGTAGGCCTTTTGTGTTGTCAGATGGGCCGGCTCGTTGTTATTGTTTGTTCCTGCATGGACAATAACACTGATGGCGTTTTCATTCCGGACAATCCATTGTGCAGGTGCGATCAGCTGTTCTAGACGTGCTCCGCTGTGGGTGTAACACTTCACGTTACTCCTTTTTGGCATCTTCTTGCTTTTTAGGTGTTTAATCATGGAGTCCCCGATGATGGCTGTTTTCTCCTGTGTTGCGGTGTTGTACAACTTGGCTCGCTGGTGTTTCCTGTACATGCCAATTTGTTGGACGATCGGACACTGTTGTGATTCTTGCCGGGACATATCACACTTGTTAGGGGAATCCTCGTCAACACTCACAGTGCGCGGGCAGGGATTAAATCGGTATGCTATAGGGTAGGAATAGGTCATCGGTTGTCTTTCGCCGACGGTGGTCTTTGGGTTGTCTTTGGGGGATGAGCGTCAGTGAATTTTTTCTGCCGGGCAGCAATGGGTCAGATACTAGTCATGGTGTAGGCGCTTTCTAACCAAAAGACAACAAATATACAACCGTCTCCTACCGATGACTGAAAGCTGCCTGAATACTGCCCAAAAAGTGGGAATCCGGTGGTTCACTACCTGAACTGTATGAATCCAGTGGTACTTTTTCCTGACCGGAAAGCAACCTATCGACCACGGAAAACACACCACGGTTGTCATGACGACATGCAACGTTCCCAAGACTACCGACGCCACGGCTTTGAGTGGCGTGATAACGACATACGTCGCCATGGCGACGGTTTCCGTGGCTACCAGAATGATTGACGTCGGCGGTAACCACGTGCAAAAACGGGTTAGGCGGCTCCGAGGCGTTTTGCCAGCGTCCATTCCGTTTACTAGTAATTGTTAACGTCGATATTTACGGATAGTCTTACAGGATTGAAATATTTTTTAAAATGCATATCGTAGATAATTGATTAAAAACGAAACGTACTACGTACATTTTCAACCGTGTAAAATTTGTATATTTTGAAAAATAAAAGCTCCCTTTACATTTCCACAGATTATCTGAAATATGTGACATTAGAGTACAACAACCTAAATCGGATTCATTGATTATCTCAAACATGTATAGTACATGGTAACACAACGACATACAGCAAATGTCAATCTGAAAAATATATCATAATATCATAATAACAACACAACATTGTGGGTTTCGATCCGGCGCCGAAAGGCATGTTTCGCAAGCATGAACACTACTGAACGCGCTAAACGATTTCGCGGCATGCAACACCATTTTTACCTATTCAAGAACAGAGTGCAACTAACAGCTGAAGTATGTTCAATAAAGGTTTCATATTGTGTACATGATAAACATCAATTGTACACTATTCTTGTGATTGTATTGAACAACATTTGTAGGTTTTACCAAGGGTTTTAGTTTTAAATACTAATCTTCTAGTTTAGTATCAGACGCTTAGGCAGTCTAAAAGCTTTATTTTTGAAGCCTATTGTCAGTAACGCCCTGTAGTGTAGCGGCGTAACACAGTGGATGGCAGTTTTAGACTCGCGACGCCGAGAGTTCGAATCCCGCAGGAGGAATTTTTTTAATTTTTTTTTGTCATACTGAATGATGTCCTGTATTTAACGCCTTTCTTGAATAATTAAATGCTTTAACTATTGTCTTCTTCTCTTTTTCAGGATGGCCTTGTAAGACCATGCTTCGGGCTACAGTTCAACGGCACAATGATTTGTGCATTTCGTTTATTTGTAGTTGTCACGTTCCAGTTCTGTTCTTTACCTTTTGTTCTTTACCCAATTTCTACTAACATGTTCCTGTTCATGAAATGTTCCTAACATCTGACTTGATAATAGACAAGTAATAATACGTTTTTTTTACAATTTACAAACACATGTAACTGTTTATTCGACATATCTTCAATATATTATATTCATTCAAAGTAATACTTTATCGATGTTGCTGAGGGGGCTCCTTCAGATCACAACAGTGGCATCGCCAATTACTAAGTAAATACTATATAATACTAGTAGCAATAGGCCGACAATAACGAAGCATGAAAAGTAGACCTGTGCTGTAGACCTTGGTACCTTTAAATCAGGTATGAAGTCATGCTGTCAAGTGCAAATACATTTTGGAGCAGGTAAGTAGATCGCACCAACGTTACAAGACATGGCGGCCCACGTTCACAGCTCAGGTAGGTCATACAATACACTCATGCTTACGTCATACGTAGCAGTAATTTCTTACTTGTAGTAGTGACCTAACTTACTTCAATACAGCTAGGTGGCTGCTCCCCTGACATCATCAGCTGCTACCCGGTCATCCTCGGAGGTTTCGCCCCTCAAGCAGGACCTCCTCCGTCCGGTGGGGCGACAGTACTGGCCAGGTACTGCCTGTCAGGGGGTTGTTGGTTTCCACTTGCTCTCTCTGTTTCTCCACACCCAGCGTAATGCCACTTCTGCTGTCTCTGCCATCTTCGAGACCGTATCTCGCCGTTGTTTCCCCACTATTCCTAGCGCCCCTAGCGCTCTCCAGGCTGACTGTGCCACAAATCCTCTGCATCCTATCTCTATAGGAAAGCACCTAGATCTCCACCCTTTCTCTACACAGTCCTGCAGTAGGTTTTGGTACTTCAAGGCCTTTCTTTCATACGCCTCCTCTATTCTCTCCTCCCACGGGACCGTCAGCTCCACTAGGACTATCTGCTTTGTCTGAGTAGACCACAGCACTACATCCGGTTTCAGGTTCGTGCTGGCTATCTCTTCTGGGAATACCAGTCTCCTGTCTAAGTCGACTCTGAGGTTCCAGTCACTAGCTGTGGGCAGGATGCCTCTCTCTCTGTCTTGAGTACCTGTCTTTCTCTTCTCTCTTTCTCCTTCTCTGACAAACCCTATGAACTTCGGCCCTTTCCTGTTCTTCCCTCTCTTCTTGGTTCTCTCCGCCTCAAGTGTGCATGCCAGCACTCTCAGTACCTGGTCATGTCTCCATCTATATCGCCCCTGACCTAAGGCGATCGGGCAGCTTGACAGAACATGGCTTAGCGTTCCTCTCCTCTCACATAGCTGACACTTCTCCTCCTTCTCCTTCCCCCATCTCTTCAGGTTCACTGGAGTGGGTAAGAGGTCGTAAACTGATCTGAGGAGGAATTGGATTCTCAGTGGTTCACACTTCCACAGGTCACTCCACTTCACACATCTACTTCTCACTCCCTCCCACTTAGTCCAGGCGCCCTGCACTCCTTGGCTCACAGCTAGTGATTTCCTTCCTTCCTCCTCCTTCCTTCTTACTTCCCTCTGTACCATGTCCCTTCTTTCCTTTGGGCCCGCCGTGCCCCATCTCTGGCTTGCCACCTTTCCTGCACCTAGTCCTAGTCTGCCTTGTGCCACGACGCCAACTATATCACTGTGCCTGAGTCTACTCTGCGCTTCATCCACTTCGTGCATAATGTAAAAGAGCTGTTAATTTCTTTGTCCACATAAACCAGACAGATGACAACATCAAGTTAGCACAGAACCCGAGCCATGACAACATGTACTCCTTCCAAAACACCAAAACTATTGTAGAGAAAGATGGCAAAATTCGTTTTGCAGTGTAGAAGAAACCGACCCACACTGATCAATACCTGACCACTTGGAACACAAACTAGCAGGATTAAGACCATTTATTGCGCATACATAATAACTAATACTAAACTAATAGTAAACTGATGGACGTAGCAGGGATCTAGCCAGCCTGAAATTTTTCCGTCATCCCACCTGTCGAGTGGTGAATAGGGTTCCCTGGGAAATTTGGACACTCTGAAACGCTATCTCCTGCATTTTGAGGGGCAATTGTTGGATGCAGACAAACCTCGTTCTTTGAAAAATTACACAAAAGTTTCAGATTAACTTTGAGGTAAACGTGGAACTTGGTTGGATCAGCAAAAAAAGAATGAAAAATTGTAACGCAAAACGTGTTGACGTCTCTACTACTTACGACAGATATTTTGAGAGGCCACACCAATTTAATTTGTTGTTTCTCGGATTCGCCATGTCCATTTTTTTCTGATTTGCAAAAAAAAAATTCTTTTAGGTTCTAAGTCAACTGCAAAATGCTCAATAAAAGATATATTTTGGCCCCAATGGTTGAAGAAAGTCCTTTCCTTCTCAGTTGTTAAAGTTTGCAATGTACCAATGCAACTTCATTATCAGTTCAAAGTCTGTTGTTTTGATTATAAACCAGTCTGGTATGATGACTTCATGGCTCATATCGTGACACTTCCTTTACTTCCTTTCCAAGGGGTGCCTTGGCCTTTTTAAAATTTTCATTTCGCCCTGTCGCTAAATATTTTTTGTAAAAAAATCCGAGAAACAACAAATTAAATTGGTGTGGTCTAAGGGTCATTTAGGTAAAAGAACAAACATTTTTAACACAGGAGCCGTTAGCGACCTGTATTCTGAACAAAAAATAATAAGAAACCTGAAAGTCTCGGGAGCAAATGCAGCAAATGGCTTCACCACATTTTGGAAGAAAAACACACACATGTATCCCCTCAGTAAAAATGAATTCTTCTTGTGACCCCACATTGTGTTAAGATCCAGTTATAACACTTCCATAGACACAAAATTTCGTTTTCACAATTACCAATTTCAAAATTGGGCATTTGAAATTTGACTAAATGTCGACATTCAGGTCTCCAAAAACTGCATTTTCGCCCAAGACTTAACCTCTCCTAATGACAGTATTACGTTTCCAACCTGTCACAATCTTTGCCCGCATGGAGATGTACTCATGCCATGTCTGCGGATGGATTTTGACGAAGCGCGCAGTTATGCCGCCACTGAAATATCCGAAGTCGTTGTAGACCTCCGTGTCTCTGTCGTCATTCGCCGGAAAAACCTGCAGCATATAAAGACATTGGTTATTATCCAAGAAGATCAACCCCTTTTTAGAAACAGCCACATCCACACTTTGAGACGTTTAAATTTATCACACGACAAAGTGTAATGACAAAGGAAACAAACCAATGAACATAAAAAAAAGTTACATGATATAACTTAATATATCTTTCTTATTACTAAAGCTACGGTCACAACCCGCCGTACGTGCTTTTTGTCCGTACGTTTTTTGGGAGGCTACGTCTGCTATTTTTTTTCTGAAAACGTGGGGAAGGAGTGGCATCGACGCACGTCACTCGCACGTCATTCGCACGGTTGCGCAAGGTGTAAGAGTGGGGTCTGCACGCCAAGTCTGGCCGTGAGCGGTTGCGTGCATCGTACGTTGCGCAAGTGGTGAGTTGTACGTGCTTACAACGTACGATCTCTGTGCGATTGCAACTTTACCTTAAGAAGGCCGTAATCACACGTGCTTCTTCCGCACGGCACGTACGGGGCACGTGCGTCGCTTGTACTCGCACGCACGGGTGGTGAATCCACAGACCGCACGTAGAAAAACTTTTACATGCACTTAAAGTTCTACGGCGTGTCTGGGTGCTCCCAAATCCGTAGGATTCTGTACGGAGGCGGTACTCACTACCCACGGATGCCCTACGTTTGCCCTCGTTTTTGCACGTAGACAGCACGCAGAAACACGTACGGCGGGTTATGACCGTAGCTTGAACCAGCAATGGCTAGCATAAGTCTGCGATATAGTGTTACAGTCACTATAATTGAGGCTAATCATGATATAAAGATATATTGAATTATATCTGTAGCACCGGTTCTCTTGAAATCCGTTGTTTACAAAGAAATGTAAATAGCTGACGCAAAACATCACATCTAGAGCATTCCATGACAAAGTGACAAAATGGGCAAAGTCATAGGCTACATTTATATATATTTATAATATCTGCCTGTTTCTATATTCAATGTTATATTGTAGGAATACGATTTTAGCTTGCAAAGATCGTAGTAGATAGCTATCCAACCAAAAGGAGGAATGATTCTTACAGTAACTTGCCCATCGGCATTGGTGTAGAACGTCTCATCACCGTTTGCATTGCCGTATGAAATGGTGTAGGATGTGACGTATTGGTCATGTATGCCCCATGGCCAATCAGGGCTGTAGTTCCTGCCTTTGGTGATGATGCCGGCGATGACGCTAACGTCGCCAAGATCTCTCATCAGCCATGGGTCCTGGTCATTTGCTGCTGCTGCCCATGCACCTGCTGCATCTGGAGTCTCGCGAGTGTTGATATCTGCACGATCAGGTGAGTGATGTGAATCCCACTCCGAGGATGCTGACCATAATGGAGGTTCTAAAACAAAGAAAAACGTGACGTTTGTTAAATAAATATGAAGCCATATCTATAATTAATTGACTATCAGCTTATAGTTTACACATATATTTTAGACGGGTTTATTCAGCAAAGAAGGAACAGGAACACTAAAAAGCTTTGATCATTCCTGGCAGCTGCGATTGCTGAATTACGAGGAATGTTTTGACAAGACATTTCGAAGAAAATATATAATTTTATTAATTTTAACATTTAGTATATTACATTTAAAACAGAGATTAAAATCAATGCGGTGTATTCAGTCAGGTGACCCTCGTTGTAGCAACTGGCCGGGCTGCAACGAGCAGTCTGTCCCCATGTTGAGGTACAACATATTGCCGACTTTGGGATGTACCTCAACATTACGGCATACGGGGACAAGGCCGTCACATGAAACACCCTATAGGGGCATCAGAGCGTTATACGGAATAGTGGAATAAACAAATAAAAACACAGGGTAGATTTACGATGTAAGTCCCTGTATCACAGTTTATTTAGTCGTTTCACCAAGGCAAGAATGCCGCTCGTCATGTAGCGTTTAGTCCCGGGGGAATGCTGGTACCGAGAGGAGTTTCGCAGATTTCTGCCATGCTGTTGTCCTTGCGTAGGAGCGAAGCGTGTGCAAAGACTTTTCCTATTTAGTTCCAAAGTCAGAGCACACGTTAGTGTTCTCTTCGATCTGACAGAAATTGCAGGTTGGACAGCTTTAGAGTTTCAGGGAACGAGCTGTACCCGCGACCTAGAAGTATTCTGCCGGTTCATTTCTGTACGCACTCTAGGGCGGCGGACTGCAGGTTGTGTGTCAGCGCTGAGCTCCAGTAGGGGGCAGCATACTTGAGTATGGGTATGATGCAGTGTTTCAGCCAGCCTTAATTTTTTTTTCATTATTTTAATTTTGTTTGACATAACATCATGCCAAAGTTTGCCTTAATGCTGGCAGCAGTCTATAAGCTTAGTTTTGTCCTTAATTGCTGATTTTTTTCCACCAAAGATGACGGATTGAGCATACTTTGTGTCCGTCGTGAGCAGCAGAATCCCGTCAAATGACAGAAAGACGGACACTGGCTAGAACAGTGGGACGTACCAACCACTAAGTACCATGATACCAATTACCGATCAAGAAATGGCGTGTTCAACAAATCATGCATTTTTAAGAACTATCGTAGAGTAGAAAGCACAGCTGGGGCATCATTACTAGAAAGCTTTATACAACTTCTGCAATGAAATGTGCAAAAATTGAGTGCAACAAACCGTTCGGTATGATATAGCTAGCTGCCACCGCGCCGCGTTCCTGCGAAGCTGTTGTGTTACACCGACGTGCGTTTACAACGGCTATATTGATGTAGATACAGACTCTTGTCCGTTGAGAGAAATTAAAAAGAGACGAACATAGACATTTCGAAGGTGCCATGGCCAAGTATAACTACCAATACAAGACAAAGCTCTCAAGCCTTCGTAGTAGTCTCAGAATGCACAAAAGCAAAAACCACTGACCACCTGAAACAAGGTCAACATAACTACCCCGTATGTCCGCGGAGTTTTTGACGGATGTTCCGAAATTTCAACATTGCCAAATATATATTTATATCTATATATCTATCTATATAGATATATCTATATCTATATATCTATATATCTATATCTATATATATCTATACATCTATCTATAAATATCTATATCTATCTATCTATCTATCTATCTATCTATATATATATATATATATATATATATATATATATATATATATATATATATATATATATATATATATATATATATATATATATATATATATATATATATATATATATATATATATATATATATATATATATATATATATATATATATATATATTTGTCCAAGAAGAATGGTTCATATTGGTTATAAACATAAAAAGTGGACTTTTTTTCTCTTAGGATTTACACATGTAAAAAGGGGTCGGAAGACACACGTTTACTGTAAATGACCGCGGGTGACCCCATTTCGAAAACTGTTCTGTTCGAATTACGTCAGATCGAACATGGTTCGGGTTGTACTTCAGGTGGGGAGATCGGGGCCAAATGTCGACCACTGTTTTCTTGTTTCTCGACATGATATTCCGATAATGCGTTATTTTGAGAGATATTTGCAGTGTTTACTTGTGTATAGTGCCTGTGTACAGACACGAGGTAGGCACCCCGCGGTGAGTGGGCAGCGCACTCAGCCATAGCAACGCCATCAAAAGGCTAGCAACCGAACCATCGTGATTTATCAGATGATATTGCTTTATAGGAAAACTAAAAAAAATATGCACAAAATCTTCTTACTAACGTCGAAACGTCATGTTTAAAAAAGGCTTATCATGTGTCGCGCTCTAGAAAACTAACCGGATCTACACGAAGTGACTAAATGTCACTGCAGTAGTTAATTGTCGACGACTAAGCCTGGCCGGTCATGTTGGACGTAGCAAAGGTCCAACCGGTAGGCATTTTGTAACCCTGACACGATGAGAAGGATTGGACGCCCAAACATAACACTTAAGGAAAAAAAAAAAAAAAAAAAAAAAAAAAACTTACAGAAACTGAATTAGGCTTGGAGTGCCTAGAACTTATTTAAAACGCTATTTAACTAATTTACATCATCCCTGACTTGTCTACCTTTTGTTTCTTTTCTTTAGTTATTTGCTTATCAATTCGTTCTTATAAATCCTTTCTGTCAAGTCTTCAATGTCACTGACGAATTGTAGTGATTGCTCCTGTTATCTAATTTGCTACACACATTTTAACTGTTTTCAGACATAAATATATTTAACATATGATCAATATAAAATATTTATACGCGGACAATCAATTAAAAATGGTTATGGTTATGATACATATTTGTTTGTAAATATTGCCATACCCAACATGTAACAGCAGTGTATCTTATGGCCAGTGACGCAACAATCGCCATCTCCACAATTGTCACTGCGGACGTAGGTACCGATATCACAGTCACCAGGGTCACAGAAGGGAGCTGTACCTTCCCAGTGGCAGCTAATGCCTGCAAGACATATACATTATATCATTTTGCTATAAATAATTCTGCATCAACACATTCCCCAGTGTTTTGGGGGCAATTTTAAGTAATAGGTACATTTTAGTAGATGATAGGGGTGAAAGCGGGGTTTGAGCTTAACCCTATCTAGACCGGATGGGGGGGGGGGTGGCTAAAAGTGCTCGCGCCAAATTTGATGTCAGATAGCGTCTGAATGGCTTGTGCTAGAACCACAGAACTTGGGGACTTTTCATAAAATATAAATGTCAACAATATCGTATCAGTGGAATAATTTCATAATTTTGGGAAATTTAGTAATTTTATAATTTTGTGTATTACATGCCAGGTTTCATATGATTTCTAATATCAATACGTTTTAATGCAATTTCATGTATTCTTAATTATTAATTGCATAATTTATGCTGATTTGATGACGTCATTTGTCAAAATCCGGAATGGCAGACCGGCGTATCATTAGGTACCGGTAAGTTTCCTTAAAATTTCACTACTTCCTTTTTTTCTACAAAAAAGGTTCATCTAAACGTCTTTATTCCTTTATAAACCTACATTTAGGCTTATTTTGAAAAAAAAAAAAACTAAATTTTACAATTCAAGATGGATGATCCAAGATGGCGAAAAGCTTAAATGTGCATGACATAATCTTATGACGTTACCGGCGCTGCTACGGGCAATATAAGACCTATTAGAACATTATATTCCATCCTAAACACTTTATGTAAAGTTATGTTGTATACTGTTAAGTTTTAAGGGAAAACGTATCTAGATGGTTTGGCTTGGGCGAATAAAATTACATTGATGACGTTCTAATGACATCATATTAAGTCATAAAGACTAGAATTAAATGGTACAAGGCCATGATTTTGACGTCGGTTAATTATTTTTATGGCTTAACAGCTACAAGCTCACCTTGACTTATAATATTTAGAGGATGTCAGGAGTCAATTCAAGTACAGGCAGTCTAAGAATAGATTCATATTAGCGTGGAAGGTTTTTGTGACACATTTCTTATTTTAAATAGGGACAACTTTTGAGTTGAAAGTTTTACAATCGTAGGTAATGTGTCGTGTCGGGAAGTTTTGTCATCAGAATATTACTATGTAAAGAGAAGAAAGCATTTTATTACTTAGCAAAAAAAGGTGAACATAAATATTTACGCGTCATATGACTCTGTTGTCTTTTTTTACAACGAACATTTATATATTATACACCCGTGCATATTCTGTGTAACTCACAAATGCACTTGCTCATGGGACATGCTGCGTACAATGCATAAACAAAAATCAAATAACAATTTTCGAGACAAAAATAATGTCAATGATGTACTTGAAATCCTCACCGTAATATCCCTCACCAAAGCAGGTAGAGCGATCAGGGCCAAGGAGAAAACCTTCCCCACAGGAACAATAAAAACTTCCGATGGTGTTGGTACAGATCTGCTGACAGCCACCATTGTTGGTCGCGCACTCGTCAATGTCTGCATGAGAACAGAAGAGTGACATGTAATGAATCTGGATACTGAAAAACATCCTGTCTTTCCTTGACCTACATCTGATTGCCCCTACAAACAATGGTACTTGTAGTGAGGTACCCCTCCCACTTAACGAATCGAAGGTAAGACATAGGTAAGATGCAAAAGTCCATTGACCGGCTTCTCCCTACTTGCTGCAGCACTTATATAATAACTGCTTGACGTTTGTATTAATAGTTACTAAATTGATAATAATTCAATGCTGGAAATTGATTTTTTGGGGAAATGTTTTTCTTACCATGGCAGTGTAAGCCGCAACCGGCGAAGAGAAAATAATTCATACAAAAGCTTTGAAACTTCTGTTATTATTCTTAGATTGAACCTAAGTATCAAGTGGGCACTGAGACTTGCCGGGTATACAGCAATATATCTTGTGGCCCGACCAGCAACAACTCCCGTCTCCACAATTGTCACTGCGGACGTAGGTACCGATATCACAGTCACCAGGGTCACAGAAGGGAGCTTCGCCTTCCCAATGGCACACATCTGTTGACAAAATACATGCATTTAGACATCACCAGTAGCTCAGTAGATGCCTCCTTGCCAACTTCCTGCTAATATATATCAGAAACACTAAAGGAAAAAAAATAGGTAAATATACTTTCCCCGTGTTTTTGTGATGATTTCTCCACCGCCAATTCAAAAATATAAAGGCTCTCAATATTCTCATGTAGGTATGGTATCTCCGAATTTGTGTTGTATATGGATCCCATACCGAAGCGGCATGTTCTAGGTTTGGTCTTACAAGCGACGTGTGTGCACGTGATTTTAATCTAGTTGGGCATGTCCACAAGATTACGTTTGATCACTTTCAGTGTCTGTTTAGCCTAAGCAGTTAAAATGTTAACACCCCACTTCAGGCTGCTTGTGACTCCCGGATACGGGCCAGGCTTTTTGGTCTTTTTGGCGACGTCTCAGGGAGGAGCCTAATGGTACCGTATTGTGTGCAGTTTAGACGAATTCTAGGGATGGTACAGGCATTTTGTCCACAGAAATGGAATGTCCACAGGAACTACCAGTTCTGTTTGCTGACCCAAATACATGCTCACATTCCTGGACGCCCTTGGGAAAACCTGTTTGCCCGGATGTCCTATAGCTACTTTCTGTGACCCCGGGATTCGTTCACTATACACTTAGGGGAGGAGTGCACCAAGGCTTCCTCAAAATATAAAATCATGGCAGTGCCATGCAAACAATAACCCTAACAGCAACCACCGTCGCCATGGCAATGTATGTTTTCATTGCCAGCTTTGTTGTTGTTGCTAAAGCCTGACCACAAAACGTATCCTATTTATCATGAAGTTCTCTGAGGGGTAAAATGCCCTCCCTGTGTTAGACTGCTCCCTATAGTTAGCTTCTGCCGACCTTTCTACCCTCTGCCGAACAGTGCCCACGCTTCAGGTCTGGGAAGTGTACCAGCGTCTCCGGGTGGTCAAAGTGAACAAAGCTCCTGGACCTGACAACATGCCATTTTCTTAATGCCTCCATTGCAAACGGTGTAGTCCCCAGCCAGTGGAAAGGAGCGACTGTTGTGCCTGTCCCGAAATCTCAGTCCACCAGAATCTATCTCATTAACCTCTCAATTTGCAAAGATTGCTGAGTTCTTTTCTTCAATGATTAAGGTATGGTGGGATGCGGAAGAGGAGTATATGTTGAGGAGTAAATGGGGAGGAACAAGAAAGCATAGGGATCATGGAGGAGGCATCACGACGGAGGCACTGCCCCATAACTTATATGACAAATGAAGGAGAATCCAATATGTGCGCAGTGTAGATAGAATACTAGTTTTAACAAAATATTGCACACAAGGAAAAAGGACCCAGATAATTGAGGCAAACCTAAACACCTTTCATCTCACAAGACCTGGCAGGCATTATAAGGACCTTTACAAGGTTGTAATTTGAACTATTTCAGCAGACACCAAGCTTGAAAGTTTGTTTCAAAATCTCACATCGATCTGTAATCACAAATTGCAAGCATCTTATACACAGCTGAAATGGACTTGTTTTGATACTTGTTTGTCTAGAAATATGTAGAAACACGTTTAGAAGCAATATTAGAGACCAGGCTCCGAAGTGCTGACCTGCCAAAGTCCCATGGACAATTGACCGGTAATGGCATAGTGTATTTGAGTGAGAATAAACAAAGGAGTAGTTTGTTAAGTTGGGCCATGTGCAGGAAAACGTAATCCATTTGATTGGCAAATGTTACCGTTCTATTATGCATTTACTGGCAAATGAGTGCGTAGGGCCGGATTCATGTGAAGATACGTATCCCGCTCGCGGCATTCCTGTCATCATTATGGGTTCACCACACCACGAAGTGGTGTGTGGTGAACCCATATTGCTTTTTCTGGTGTTTCTTCTTCTCCTCCTCCTCCTCCTTCTTCTCCTGCCATTTTTTAAATGGATTCAGCTTCTTCATTTTAGGGCCTAAGGTCCTGAAATTTGGTATGGAGGTACAGTGGGCAAATACCCCTAGGCGTTTTTAAAATTTTTGTGATACGGGCTTTTAGAATGGTTTTATTTGAGTTTTTTGGCTGTGTTATAGCAAATGTATTACTGTGTTAGTGTGCCGTGTTCACCACGTCTGGGCATGAGTCATCACAATGGAATGCAGGGCATCAGCCAATAGGCATGCAGCTTTCCTCTATTCTTCTTGCTGATTGGCTGTTGGGATTTAACTTGATTAACACCTGCACAGAGCATTTCCATACTAACAGTATGTCTGTATTCAAGTGTTTTGGTAGGTATTTCAAGCTTTCCTGCTCCAGCATTGGAATGCAGGGCATGAACATTTTTTATTTTATTTTGAAAATCAACAGTTTGCATTATGCAATTAAAAATCCCAACCAATAAAGTAGGGAATAGCTATCCAACTGTTGTTTTAGTTGTATGTTACTTCATATTATAGTAATATCAATGTAAATCATTGTTTTCCCTTGTGTTTCTCATTCTTTCCCTGCCATGTCGTAAAATGTGGTGAACCCATCGCTGTATTTGCTCCAAAGCAAATATTGGCCTTTCTAGTTTACTTTATTTTTTTTTTACATAAACAAGAGCCAAACCGACGGTTTGCTCTAAACTAAAAAGGCGACATGTGTACTGTAGCATATTTCATTCCGACTATCTCCCCAATCTGAAATGAACTGTTTCAAATCATGCTTCACCATTAAGTATCAAGTGTTTAAATACTTCAATGCAGTGATCGATTCACCATACGGCACCTCTTAGTAACAGTCCATACAGTCTTTTAGTACAAATATTCTTGAAACTCCGATGTAGTGCTTTTCAGTGTTTGTCATTCAGTGTAAGTATTCTCAACTCTAGGATGAAGTGTTCATACCCCGAAACAGTGTTTGTCAGAAATTGTTGTCCAAATCCCCAAAGTACTTTTCGCTCAAAGAAAACCTCAATGTACATATTTCATGTCATTTTCTGCTTTGAACATACGACGTCAGTGATAATTCCAAATCAATAAAGTACAAAAATTGGACTGATAAAAAACTCGCTGGCCTAATCCTGTATGGTTCCTTGACTTTACCTGGCAGGTACATACTAAAACTGTGTGACTCCCGCCCTCTGCGCCTAATTCGCCTTAAAATGTGCGACTCCCTGGCCAAACCCTATGTGGCTCCATGGTCTAATAGTAAGCGTCTCTCAAGCCTAACCCTGAGCGACTCCCTGGTCTTACCCTGTGTGGCTTAGCGTGGGTTCCAGACCTATAGCACACTGGACACAAAATATCTCAGTGAGCCAGGCTCACTGAGATATTTACCTCCATGAAAAATGGAGGTATTGTTTTTGGCGTGTCTGTCTGTATGTATGTATGTATGTATGTATGTCTGTCTGTGTGTCTGTCTGTCTGTGTTTCCGCAACTTTGTGGTCAGCATAACTTTAGAACGCCTTTATGGATTATGATGATAGTTGGTATGTCGGTAAGTCTCAGGAAGACAAACGTCAAGGTCAAATATGGGCCTCCTGGTGGATGACCTTGGTACTGCAGCAGAACTTCCGGTTTTTGTATCTTTTGTCCTGAACATGCTATGGTCTTGATGTTTTGGTGACAGATTGCTTTTCCTGTCAGGAATAAGTGTTGTGAGTTTGGTCCCCCTAGCAGCTTGTTCTGGAACTGCAGGGCACTTTCTGGCGAAATGTTTAAAAGCCAATAAGTCAAGATAGGAACAACATATTTTCATAATTTTTGGTGTGTAGGTAGCTGAGAGAGAGATGTACATGATTAAATGCAAATTATGCAAATGAGGACTTTATTTGCATAATTAATGAGGAAATTCTATAATTACAGTGTTTTACATTATACTTCTTTCATACATGTAATGTATGTAACCTATGGCAGGCAGAACATCAACAGATACTAATTATGCAAATGATGACCTAATTTGCATAATTTATGCAAAAATTCTATGATTTCTTAATGGTGCATGATGGGAGTGTCATACTTGGGACATCTGTAAGTTAATCAAAAGTTCACATACATCACGATGCATATATCATGTTAATGCGGAGGTAATTTGCATAATTAAAGAGGAAATTTACATTTACATATCAAGCCCATATTTCATGGAGGTATCAAGTCTCGGAATTCTTGTTTTATAAATCTAAATAATTTATAAATTAAAATATTTTTTCCTAGGCCCTCCCCCGGCTCAACTTTTTTTTCCTAGGCCCTCCCCCCTCAGACGACCGGCCATCCCCCCGGTAGATATCGTACAGTCCCTAAAACCTTTGCGGCTCCCTGGCCTAAACCTGTGGAGCTCCTAGGCCTAACCATGTGCGGCTCCCTGGCCTAACCCTGAGCGGCTCCCTGGTCTAACACTCTGCGGCTCCCTGGTCTAACCCTGTGGGGCTCCCTGGCCTAACCATGAGCAGATCCCTGGTCTAAGACTCTGCGGCTCCCTGGTCTAACCCTGTGCGGCTCCCTGGCCTAACCCTGTGCGGCTCCCTTGCCTAATCCTGAGTGGCTCCCTGGCCTAAACCTGTGGAGCTGCTAGTAGTAACCCTGTGCGGCTCCCTGGCCTAACCCTGAGCGGCTCCCTGGCCTAACCCTGTGCGGCTTCCTTGCCTAACCTTGTGTCGCTCCCTTGCCTAACCCTGTGCAGCTCACTTGCCTAACCCTGTGAGGCTCCTTGGCCTATTCCTTTGCGGCTCCCTGTTCTAACCATGTGTGGCTCACTGGCCTTACCCTGTGCGGCTCCCTGGCCTAAACCTGTTTGGCTCCTTTGCTTTACCCAGTACAGCCCCCTTTCCTTACTCTGTGTGGCTCCATTGCCTAACACTGAGCGGCTCCCTTGCCTAACCCTGTGCGGCTCCCTTGTCTAACCCTGTGTGGCTCCCTTGCTTAACCCTGTGCAGCTACCTTGCCTAACCCTGTGTGGCTCCCTGGCCTTACCCTGTGCGGCTACCTTGCCTAACCCTGTGCAGCTCCCATGCCTAACCCTGTGCAGCTCCCATGCCTAACCCTGTGCGGCTACCTTGCCTAACCCTGTGCGGCTCCCTTGCCTAACCCTGAGCGGCACCCTGGCCTAAACCTGTGCGGCTTACTGGCCTTACCCTGTGCGGCTCCCTAGCTTAACTCTGTGCGGCTCCCTGGTCTAACCCTGTGCGGCTCCCTGGTCTAACCATGAGCGCCTCCCTTGCCTAACCCTGTGCGGCTCCCTTGCCTAACCCTGTGCGGCTCCCTTGCCTAACCCTGTGCGGCTCCCTTGCCTAACCCTGTGCGGCTCCCTTGCCTAACCCTGTGCGGCTCCCTTGCCTAACCCTGTGCGGCTCCCTTGCCTTACCCTCTGCGGCTCCCTGGCCTAAACCTGTTTGGCTCCCTTGCCTTACCCAGTACCGCGCCCTATTTTTACTCTGTGCGGCTCCATGGCCTAACACTGTGCGGCTACCTGGCCTTACCCTGTGCGGCTACCTGGCCTTATCTTGTGCGGCTCCATGGCCTAACTCTCTGCGGCTCCTTGGCCTAACCCTGTGCGGGTCCCTGGCCTTACCCTGTGCGGCTCCCTTGCCTAACCCTGTGCAGCTCACTTGCCTAACCCTGTGTGGCTCCCTTGCCTAACCCTGTGCAGCTCACTTGCCTAACCCTGTGTGGCTCCCTTGCCTAACCCTGTGCAGCTCACTTGCCTAACCCTGTGTGGCTCCTTGGCCTATTTCTTTGCGGCTCCCTGTTCTAACCATGTGTGGCTCACTAGCCTTACCCTGTGCGGCTCCCTGGCCTAAACCTGTTTGGCTCCTTTGCTTTACCCAGTACAGCCCCCTTTCCTTACTCTGTGTGGATCCATTGCCTAACACTGAGCGGCTCCCTTGGCCTTACCCTGTGCGACTCCGTGGCCTAAACTTGTAAGGCTCCCTGTTCTAATCATGTGCAGCTCAATAGCTCATGCCATTGCAGCTACATGGCGTAACCCTGTGCGACTCCCTGACGTAACCCTGTGCTGTGCGGCTCCCTAGCACTAGCGTAATCCTGTCCTGCTCTCTAGCGTAATCCTGTCCTAACCCTGTGACTCTGTGAGGCACCCTGGCCTAACCCTGTGCGGCTCCCTGGTCTAAAACTGAGCGGCTCTCTGGCTTACACATGTGCGGATTCCCCCGTGCGGCTACCTGGCCTAATCCTGTACGGCTTCCTGACCTAACGCTGTCAAACCCTAAGCGGCTATCTGGATTGACCAGTGCAGCTCACTGGTTTATTTCTTGGTAGCTACATAGCCTAACCCTGTGCGGCTCCCTGTCCTCTGTGCGGCTCCTTGGCCTAACCTTGTTTGGCTCCCAGGCCTAACCTTGTGTGGCTCCCAGGCCTAACCTTGTGTGGCTCCCAGGCCTACTGCCTTGTGTGGCTCCCAGGCCTAACCCTGTGTGGCTATCAGGCCTTATTTTTTTACCTTGTGCGGCTCCCTGGACTAACCCTGAGCGGCTCTCTTGTCTCTTGCTTGGCGGCTCCGTCAGATTACCCCGTGCTGTTTCCTGGTTTAAGTTTGCGCTGCTTGGCGGGTTCATGACTAATTTCTAAATGACGCCTTTAATTTCGTCCATTTTTACCAAAGAAATTTTAGAGCATACGTAGTACAACACTCTCGGTTATAAGCAAAATATATGCCGCGACCGAAGCTAATTTCATAAATTGTCCTGTTTTTCCTTACTCTATATATTTTAGAAACGGACAGAATTTGTCTTCGTTAACTTACACGCTTCTGTTTCCTTTAACCAGAAGAAAGACCGTGCAAAACTATGCTCTGTACGTGACCTTTGGGCCATCAATCATTGCATTTACACTCACCTGCATTTGTCCTTCCGATCGAGACAGATAACAGAAGAGCCGAGACCAACACGGCCGACTTCATGCTGCTAATGTCACTGTGAGAGAAGAAAAATACCCTTTAATACCTCGAATTACACGACCTACATGCAAAAATGTTTCCTACATACAACAAAATCCCTACGATTCTTCAGTAGAGGATCTGTTGGAGGGCAAGTCTGGTGCCAGCAGCCGCGGTAATTCCAGCTCCAATAGCGTATATTAAAGTTGTTGCGGTTAAAAAGCTCGTAGTTGGATCTTGGGACCGGGCTTGCGGTCCGCCGCGAGGCGTGTCACTGCTCGTCCCGGCCCTCCCCGCCGGATTCTCCCTGGTGCTCTTAACTGCGTGCCTCGGGGTGCCGGAGCGTTTACTTTGAAAAAATTAGAGTGTTCAAAGCAGACCTGGCGCCTGGATAGTGGTGCATGGAATAATGGAATAGGACCTCGGTTCTATTTCGTTGGTTTTCGGAACGTGAGGTAATGATCAAGAGGGACGGACGGGGGCATTCGTATTGCGGCGGGAGAGGTGAAATTCTTGGATCGCCGCAAGACGAACCACTGCGAAAGCATTTGCCAAGAATGTTTTCATTGATCAAGAACGAAGTTGTGGGCGCGAAGGCGATCAGATACCGCCCTAGTCACAACCATAAACGATGCCAACCAGCGATCCGCCGGCGTTACTTCGATGACCCGATGGGCAGCTCCCGGGAAACCTGAGTTTTCGGGTTCCGGGGGAAGTATGGTTGCAAAGCTGGAACTTAAAGGAATTGACGGAAGGGCACCACCAGGAGTGGAGCCTGCGTCTTAATTTGACTCAACACGGGGAAACTCACACGGCCCGGAGACAGTAAGGATTGACAGATTGAGAGCTCTTTCTTGATTCTGTGGGTGGTGGTGCATGGCCGTTCTTAGTTGGTGGAGCGATTTGTCTGGCTAATCCCGATAACGAACGAGACTCTGGCATACTAACTAGTTCGGCGATCCCGCGCGATCGGCCGCAACTTCTTAGAGGGACAGGCGGCAATAAGCCGGACGAGATGGAGCAATAACAGGTCTGTGATGCCCTTAGAAGTCCGGGGCCGCACCCGCGCTACAATGAAGGCATCAGCGAGTCTTTCGCCTTCGCCGAAATGTGCGGGTAACCTGCTGAACCGCCTTCGTGATAGGGATCGGGGATTGCAATTATCTCCCATGAACGAGGAATTCCCAGTAAATGCGTGTCATCAGCGCGCGTTGATTACGTCCCTGCCCTTTGTACACACCGCCCGTCGCTACTACCGATTGAATGGTTTAGTGAGGTCAGTCGATCGGACCCTCTCGGGCCGGCAACGGTCTGGAGGAGCGCCGAGAAGCCGATCAAACTTGACCATTTAGAGGAAGTAAAAGTCGTAACAAGGTTTCCATAGGTGAAGCTGTGGAAGGATCATTACCGAAATCAAAGCCGACGCACCTCGTCGTGTGGTCGTCTCTTACACGGTGGCAAGGAGCGTGGAATGGGGTCGAGTTTAGTCTCACGGCGGGGCCTAGGTGAGACCGCTCCTCCCCGGCACCCGCGGCGCGGCGTTGCAGTCTCTGACTCTATGTAAGCGGTCTTGTGGACGAGTGACCTGTCCTTAAGCGTCGGACTTCGAGCGGGCGCCCCGCGGTCCAAGGCCTCCTTTGGGCAGAGGGTGAGGAATGCTCTCGGTCGTCGCCGACTAGCCACCGGCCTCGACTGGTTGCTCCACTCCCCTTCCGCTCGTTCGCCATCCTTCACACCGAATGACGAATGTCTTTGAAATGACGGTGAGCTTTCGATTCGAACTCGAAAACGAAAGAAAAACGACAACTCTTAGCGGTGGATCACTCAGCTCGTGTGTCGATGAAGAACGCAGCCAACTGCGAGAAGTAATGTGAATTCCAGGACACATTGATCATCGGCTCTTCGAACGCACTCTGCGGCCCCGGGACCGTCCCAGGGCCACGTCTGGCTGAGGGTCGGTTTCACCTTCAATCGCGTCGTGCATGCATGCACGCACGTCGCGCGGCTGGGGGTCTGTCAAAGCTGTGCCTCTCGCGATCGATTCGAGCTTCGTCCCCAGAAGAACAGGTTTTCACAGTTCCCTCCGGCGGAGACGCTCGCATCCGAACCCGATTGCTTTTCGGGCTGGCGGCGCTTCGCCCGGGCGGACCGCGGGGAGTTTCTCCTCGCGATCCCGACCCGGCTTGGCGCATTCCCGCCGTCCGACTGGCGCCCGGACAATCGAGCCTCTCTCCCCGGCAGTGACTGCGAAGGGCGTCGGCAGGTGGCGAACCCGACCGGCTGGGGATCTGTCGAAGCTGTGGTGTGCCTCTCGCGATCGATACGAGCTTCGTCCCCCCAAGGTCAGGTTTTCACAGTTGCCTCCGGCGGAGACGCTCGCGTCCGAACCCGATTTGCTTCTCGGGCTGGCGGCGCCTCGCTCGGGTGGACAGCGGGGAGTTTATTCTTGCGATTCCGACCCGTCTTGGCGCATTCCCACCGTCCGAATGGCGCCCGGACAATCGAGCCTCTCTCCCCGGCAGTGACTGCGAAGGGCGTCGGCAGGTGGCAAGCCCCAGGCGAGCCTGTAATGCGCCGGACGGCCGCCCCTGAACGCAACGTTCGTTCCCTTCAGTCCTCGACCTCAGCTCAGGCGAGACGACCCGCCGAATTTAAGCATATAACTAAGCGAAGGAAAAGAAACTAACAAGGATTCCCTCAGTAACGGCGAGTGAAGCGGAAAGAACCCAGCGCCGAATCCCCGCTCCCACGGGGCGCGGGAAATTTGGCGTTCGGGAGGTGCTCTCCGTCCGTCGACCGTCGCCCAGGTTCTTCTGATCGAGGCCTCTCCCAGAGCGGGTGTCAGACCCATGGCGGCGACGGCGGCGTTCG